CTTGTCACTCCTCAATGGTCTAAATCTCACTAATCAAAGCAGAAAAAAACATGGAAAGATTTTGTTTTTTCATTGGAATTAAAAATTCAACAAAAAAAAATCTATTTATGAAGTTGAGAGAAAGAGAGAAGAAAAGTCATTTGTAACACATGTGTGTGTGTGTGTGTATGTCATCTTGATGTCAAAAGTCAACATCAGCAAAGGTAGATCTAATTTAGACATTTTGTTGTTGACCGGCTTTTGAGGCACTTACACACACACACACAGGTCAAAAGGCATTTTTTTCTGAATATCTGTGTGTGTGTGTGTGTGTGGTGGTTTTTTTTTCTCAGAAAAATGAAAACACAGTTGAGACACAACAACAACAACAACAACAACAACAACGTTGTAGAACAAAGTTCAAAATAACGAAATCAAACCAAAAACCAAAAACCAAAAAAAAAACAAAAAAACATTCAGGTTATATATATATGTGTGTGTGTACACACCCCTCCTTTTTTTTCTTGTTTCGTTTTTGGATAGAATCTCCACCACAATTAGTTAGATAGATAAATGGTAGACCTCAAGGCCATCAAAAAAAAATGGCCCCAATCGAAATGGTCATGATGATGATGATGATGATGAGTTTATTCATCCATGACATTATTATTATTAATGGATGAGAAAATGAAAAAAAATTTTGTTTTTGTTTGTTTGTTTTTGTCATTGATAATCAAACAACAATGAAATGAAAGGATTTTTTCTTCCAGTTTATCGTTTGTGTGTGTGTATGTGTGTGTTTTGATTAATTTCTTTGTGTATATACTATAATTATTACATAATGATAGGATTTAGTTGAGTTTTTTTTTTTTTGTTCATTCCAGACTTTTAGCACTATTGTTGTTGTTGTTGTTGTTGAAATAGCCTATAGCGTTTAATATGTTAATTCTCTGAATCCTTTTTTAACACTTGGTTCATATGGATAATCTTGTAGTATTCGATGATCATTATTATTATCGATGATGATGATGGTGATGATGGAAAAGGAGAAAAGTTCAATGATTTTTTCCACTGGTACTAATTTCAATCGTGATCATTTATATAGTGATGATTTCAATTTTTTTTTTTTTTTGAAGAATTTTCAAGAATTTTAATTGGTAGTTAATAAACAACAACGACGTTGCTAGAAGTATGGGTTGAATTAGATTGATTAGCCATTATCAGAAGCTATAAAATCATGTATATATATCAGGTAGCCAAGATGGATCGATAGCAAATTGCTAGTTTCACCAAAAACATTACATCATTATCTTGCACAATGAACCAATGACGATTGATGATGATCGATATTTAATTTGCATATAGATTAAATCTTGATCTGATCTGATTTTTTTTGATTGTTTCTAATGCCTAAAAAAAATTTCATGATAATCAAACAATCATCTGATTGATTTATTGATTGATCATTGAATTTGAATAGCATGCACACACACACATACCTATAGGATTTGAATGAGGATTGGCCTTTCACATCACATCATCATTTTGTTGTTTTTTGTTATTTGTTTTGTTTCTTTTTCCTTTTTTCTTTTTCTCCATATTTGATTAGTATTTTTTTTTTTTTCGTTTGACCGTTGAAAATTCCAATGATAAAATATAATTTAATCAAATTCGAATGTCAAAGGCTACGCCCATTTTATTTTTTTTTTCGTTTGAACCCCCTAAAGCATCATTAATTCAAAAGTTTCTACCCTCTTTGCATTGATTTTTTTCTTTGCCAGTTTTGTTAATCTATAAGATCATCTATTTTTTTCTGTAGTCAGTCAGTCAGTCAACCAGTTGCCTATATATTGAATTGAGTGAAAAAAAGAATTTTGTATGATTTGATGTTGAACAGAAATTGATTAAAGTGTGTGTGTGTGTGTGTGTGTGTGTCTGTGAATGACAGGTCTAAATAAATGCAATAAATTATACCAAAAAAAAGAAGAAAAAAAATGAAGAAAATGAAGAAGAAAAACATGGCAACAACAACAACGAAAAAAAAGGCAAAGTCCACTAAATCTAATACTATCTTCTTGATTTTTTTTTTCGTTATTCAACTCTGCTTCGTTGAAAATTGTTGTGTTGTCAGAATGTGAGAAAGATTGATTTCAAATACAAATCCAAATCCAATCAAGATCATTGCCTTCATAATGATGATTGGTTGATGTAGAAAAAAAAATGCAAAATTCAACCATCGATACGACCTAATCGATAATTTGAATGTTTTTGAATAAAAGAACAGGAATAAAAAACACATCATCATCATTAAATGAGATAACTGAGATCCTTGTTACATATTTTTTTGTTGTTGTTGTTCTGGAATGTAATAAATCAACGAACTATGTGTGTGTGGCGAGTATTGTGTTATTACAAGAAACTAAAATTTCGCTGTGCACAACGCTAAGACGTTTGGGCGCTTTTTTTGTTTCTTGGTCATATTCATCATTTTAATTGCCAAGAATTTTGCAATTAGATTTAGGATTAATTAATTTCAATTAATAATTTCGTTGTTGTTGTTGTTGTAGTTTTTTCTTGTGTGTGTGTGTGGAAAAAAACAATGATGATGATCCTATAACATACTATAAAAATCTGAATCTGAAAATTTGTGCATATGTGTGTGTTGGGGAAAATTAATTTTTTGTTTTCGCATTTAGTTTTGTGATTTTTGTTTGATTAATGTTGTCCATTCATTTGGTCACCTGTTTTTTATATTGTCAAGTTTTTTTGTTTACTGATCTAGTCTAGTGACAATTTTTCATTTTGTAAATGACATGTAAATGCACACACAGTGGTCATTTCATTAATGTGCATAAACAAGGACCCATTGCAAGAATTTTCTAAAAATAAAACATCTTCATCCACGTACACAAACGAATGCCATAAAAAATGAGACCATGTCTTTGTCTTTGTTTTTTCATTTTATTCATGCCTTAAAGTCAAAACGAATGACAACTACAACAACAAGATTTGCCCTTTGGTCAATTGTATTTTTTTTTTTTTTTGTATGAAAACTCAATCCAAATCAATCAAACAAAATCTATACATCTAAATATATATAGAGTTATAAATAAAGTTGAAACGTGAAAAAAAAAATAACGATTATGATAATCAACGAAAAAAAAAATCAAAACGCTAATATATGATAAGATATTACTACATAGTACAAAAACATTCTGATTTTTTTTTTTTTTTTTTTTTTGATATTTCACCGAAAAATAATTTTCTTTTCTAAAATTGTATCTTTTTTTTCTACTCTTCGGTTTAGTTTATATAGCATATAAAATGGTCATTTAAATTCTGTATTTTTTTTTGTGCTTGAAAAAAAAAAACAGGATCATCATCATCATAAAATAAATTTTCAAACATTGATGAAAAAAAAACAACTAAAGAGGAGGTGTTAATTTACGAGACATCCGCATCATCACCATCATCATCATCATCATAATATAATTTTAGGTGCTAATTAGATTTATTGTAATTGAATAAAAAAAGAATTTTCGCATATTGTTCGGTGAAATTGTAAGGCGAATTTTTTTTTTTTTTTGAGAAGCCAACCTTTTTTTTTGATCAAATTCCATGGAAAATATTCTAAATGAATGTTTTACGGCTTTTGAATTTTAAAATTTAAAATTTTCATTTGATGATCGATACGAAGACGACGACGATCACGACGAACCACAATTTCACAAAATCAACAGGCAATCAACAAGAAAACAAAAACCAGATCAAAATTGAATTGTCCAGACAGATTTTTTTCTCCTCTGTTTGTTTGTTTGATTCCAATGACATACATATAAACATATTCAATCTGATTTTCGGTTCATTCAAGTGTGTGTTTTTTCTTCGTCTTCTTCTTTTGATTAACAGTTTTTTTTTATTTTCTGTTTCAACTATCTCTCTCTCTCTCTCTCTCTCTGGCTTAGTGTGTGTGTGTGTGTGTGTGTAAGTGAATGAAATTTGAAACTTTTATTGCCCATTTTTTTCGGTATGTGCATATCTGCTGTATTTTTTTTTTTGTAGCTGTAAAAAACTATAACAAAAATTTTTTTTTTTTTTATTTTGGCTTCGGTTCCCTATAGGTTTTGTCATTGGTTTCTCTTGTTCATTTCATTGCTTTGCTTCAGGGGTTTTGTTTTTTTTTTCTTGTTTTTTGATTCCACTTGAAGCCGGAATGAAAATTTAAAATTCTCAAGAAAAAAAAACCGTTAATTTTTTTTTGTCTTTGTCTTATTTTTCAGAATGAGTTGTTTGTTTCATTTTTGTTTTTCGTTTTGTTTTTGGTTTTGAATTTCCACATGCAAATAAATATAATATCCAGCAATAATAAACACCAGTAGCTTTTTAATCAAGTAGTTTTTTTGTCTCCGTTTTAAAACTATGATTATTAATCTTTGAATTTTTTTTTACTCTATTTCCGCTAACAGGACAACTACACAAACACGTGCGATGTGATAAATCTATGAAAATATTTTTTTCTCTTGTAACCGATATACGTCAATTAAAATAAACGATATACGTAAACACACGATCGATAATTAATATATATTCAATCAATCAATCAATCAAGTCTAATAAAAATAATTCTTACGGCTGAAATTTTTCTTGAAAAAAATTCAATTGTTTGAAGCAATATATTATATCATAATCAACCTAATCATCGTAAATAATTCTAAATAATCAATTAAAGTAAAAAAAACCAAAAAAAACGAAAAATAATAATCATGTGTGACAGTATGACACCACAGTATCATTTCGCTCAAACAGCGACAACAACATTACCAACATATTTAGGACATAATAATAGTAGTAATAGTCCACCACATCATAATCATAATCATAATCAACATACACCTCCACCACCACAAATACCACCACAATCATCATCATCGTCACATCATCATCCACATCCTTCTTCACATCATCATCATCTTCATCATCAGCATGATCATAATCATAATCATAATCAACCACATCATACACAAACAATGTATCATCATCATCATCATCATCCACAAAATCATAATTCACATCCACATTCAATAATTTCATCAACACATGGTGTCAGTGTTGGACCACCAGTTCCTTCTCATCATCATTCACATCATCATCAACAGCAGCAACAATTACAACATTCAAATCATCATTTAATGATGATGGATCCTCATCATCCACATCATCATCATCATCATATTCTATCTACAGCAAATCCATATGGTGGTCATTTTACAAATGGTGATTTAGCTATCGTAGTCCAACAACAACAACAACAACAACAACAACAGCAACATTCAAATTTGCCATTATGTCTTGATAATGGTGGTGGTGGTCGAACTAATCATCTATCATTGAATGCATCACCACCAAATCAACAGCAACAATTATTGTATCCAACAACCACCCATACACCACCACCACCACATACACCTAATCCACAACATCAACCACAATCATCACCAGTATCATCAATTCATTATGGTAATAATGGTAATAGTAGTGGTCAACCATATCCTCGATTTCCGCCCTATGATTGTATTAAAACTGAACCACAACAGCTGATTAAACATTCTGATACACCCACCGGATCTGTTTCAAATAATAATAACAATAATTCGATAACACAAACAAATAGTCAGCCAAATGATCCAACTAGTCCATTCTATCCAAATAATACATCAACACCAAATGCTAATGCTAATAATAATTCAGCAACAACACCAACTTCCTGTTCGAATAGTCAACAACAACAACAACAAGCACAGATTCCATCATTAGCTGCTACAGCACCACCACCATCATCATATGATTGTAGTGGTCGTGGTTCAATAACACCACCATCATTAGATGGTTCAAATGGTGGTTTCGGTAGCTGTAAAATATTAAGCGATGGTAGTATAACACCATTAGGACCTAATTCATCACCATCACCAAATTCATCATTACATCTTCATCATCAGCAACAAATTTATGGAATTGATAATAATGGTGGTGGTCATTCATTAGGAGCCGCTGGTTCGCCGGGACAACAATCACGATCAGCAATTTCATCACCAATTTATCCATGGATGCGATCACAGTTTGGTATGTTTTTTATTTTATTTCATTTCATTTGAATTTTTCCATTAAAAAAAATCAATTTATTACTGCCACCTGTTGTTTGGGATTCAAACTAATTAGATGAATTTAATTGACCAATTCTACGATAGATGGCAGTTTCAAACAACCAATGATAGAAATAAAAACAGAATTTTTATTTTGATTCACAATTATTACGAAATTCTATTCTGTTTGCCAAAATGATAAGCAATAACAATTGATCATTATGTAATGATAATTATTGCCTCTCTCTCTCTCTCTCTCTCTCTTTCCCTTGATGAAAACTAATGTATGTAATAATAGGCAAGGATTACGGATTACGGTTGAATTTGTTCATTTGTCAAGAAAAAAGGGTGAGATTATCTCTGCTATTAAATTACATTAATAAACATTGATCGTGATCAATGAAATTGATTGCTGCTTGATCAGTGAATAAATAACTTAATTTTATTTTTATTTATTATATTCGTTTCGTGTTTCGAACAAAAATTAAGATGTTATTCGTGATTCGTGAAAAAAAATTATAGATAGATTTGAATGAAATGACTTGGCCAGAATGATTCTGATGATTATTTCTCAACGATTTCCTATTAGATGGCGCTTATTGTCAGAATTTTATCTTTCTTTAGAATTTAGAATTGTTTTCTTTTTCATTTTAGAATTTTATTCTTTTCGATTGATTGGAAAAAAAATTTTTTTTTTTCAAGAATTCTTCAGCCGTTTCATCAAATATTATATCTATTAATTTACTCGTTTGAATTGTTGTTTTCATTATAATTCTAGCCAGGACGAATATACTAAAATACACGAATCACGTATTTCAATTCAATTTTTTTCACATTTCTTATTTAGCTCAAGATAGATGGAAAGAATAAGAAATTTCTTCATTTTTTTCCATTTCGTTCGTTCGTGAGTGTGTGTGTGTGTGTGTGTAATAACTTTATCGAAATTCTTGAAAAGCTTAGACTTTCTTTTTTTCATTCGGAATTCCATTAATACAAACACACACACACACATTCATACATTTATTCTGGAAATAGATAGGTTTTTTTCTCTTCAAGAGAATATATGAAGAAAATGAAATTCTGATCCGTTTAAGATGTATGTGTATGTGTGTGTGTGTGTCGTATATCATCAGAATCTAATTCCATTAATAATCAATGGATAAATTAGCAGCACAAACAACGAATGAACGAATGAACAAAATTCTTCTTCTAAATATTATTATTTTCAATCTATTTCGATTTCGAATGAGAATTTTTTTTTTTCATTCTTTTTTCAGTTTTCATATATTTTTATATATATGATATTTCTTCTTATTGGTTTTTTACTTTCGTTAAATGATCCACGAGTTTTTTTCGCTTTTTTTTTTTTTGGATCACGTTGAAGTATTTGAGGCAACCAGAGGAAAGAAAAATGAATGGAAAAAACTTTGGAATACTAGTGATACTATTAAAAGATTTATTTGTTCCATTCATTTTAAGTGACATTCAATGATTCTGTATGTAGTGTATGAATGAAAATGAAAAAGTTTGTTTCACTTCATCTCACACACACACACACACACACAGTCCAATGTTTTTTTTTTTTTCTGGCCATTGAAATGATATTCTACATTCCATTTCAAGTATAGTAGAGTAGAATGAAAAGTAAAGTTTTCAATTCCAATCGGAATTCCAAATTCCAATTCCAATTGCAATTTTGTGTAGATGTGTGTGTGTGTATGTTCATTTCCTGTGAGATTTGTGAGATTTTTTTTTTTTTTTTTTTTTTTTCGTTTGCTCGTCGACATTCACAATAGAGTGTGTATTTTTACTATAGGTCTTGATCCATACATTTGATGATGGGATTGGCAGTGCCAAAGCAAAATAAAAAAAAAAGAAGAAAAGAGAGGAGAAAATGCAATTTTGGATTTATATTTGAAGCTGTTTTTGTTGTTGTTGTTGGATTTCCTTTTGATTGAAAAAAAAGTTTGCCAATGCGAGAGAAAGAGAGAGAAACCAATTTCCAAAAGGAATTGAGATGTGAATGAAAAAAAATGTCTCTTTCTCCTGTCTTGCCTTGATATTTTTGCGAATCGAAAATAGAAATAAATGATCAAAACCCATAGGCAAAGAATTGGAATCCTTTTTTTATAAATAACTAGAAAACTACTTAATCCTTGCTCCAAATAGTTGTTTGAAATATTTGGATTCTACCGTTTTGGTTGATTTGTTTTCCGTTTTTTTTCTGTATTTATTGAGAATTACAGATGATGATGATGATGATGATGATGTGATTAGTCTTCATTTTTTTCTCTTCGAATGACAATTTATATTTATTTAGATTTAGTCATTCTATTTTAGCCATTATAGGAATATATTTGGTGGACATCTTTCTCTCTTTTTGTACATCATTTACAATCATTTGTTTTGTTTTGTTTTTTATTTTTATTTTTTCATATATGTCCAGAACGGAAACGAGGACGACAAACATATACCCGATATCAGACATTAGAATTGGAAAAAGAATTCCATTTTAATCGTTATCTAACACGAAGACGACGTATTGAAATTGCACATTCATTATGTTTAACGGAACGACAAATAAAAATTTGGTTCCAGAATCGTCGTATGAAATGGAAAAAAGAGAATAAAACAAAAATTGATCATCAAAATCAACAAGGAATACCGATCGGTACTGGTGGTGGACCACCAGGTTCAAATGGTAGTGTTGTTGGTGGTGGATCATGTATGGATCTAAATCATATTGATAATGGACATCGAGGCTAATAATCACATGCACACACACATATACTAACAATTTACTCAATCAATCAATCAATCGATTAAAATGAATATAAAATGAGAACCTTACTCAGGTCAGTTATTTACACACACACACACACACATCAACAACCGCTATCTCACTATATGTCATTTATACGTAAAAAATTCATTTATAATAAATCCTATGATTCGACCTCATTTACATACACACACACACACACACACAATTTTTGTCTCTTAAACTTGGCATTTTTTGGCGCTAAACAACAACAAATATTCTTGACAAGAATAGCGAATACACACACACACACGTATTGTAAATATCAAACAACAACAACGATGAACATTAATTAGAAATCGAATTCAATTCAAGATAGATAACAAGAGATGTGTGTCCATTTTTTTTTTGTTTGTTTCATTATTCAAATTCAATTTTTTTCCCCAATTTTAAAGTGGGATATATATATATAGTGCACACATTATGATAATTTCAAAAAAAAATTTTTTTGCACGCCCACATTATTTATTCACACCCAAATGATGATGATTTTTTTTTCATAATTAATATATATACCTGATAACATATTCAACAACAAACAAACAAACAAACAAACAATATACGTATCTCAAAATACACAACATTTTACGAACAATTTACGAATTTACCTGTTGTGTTGATTTTTTTTTCTGGCATTCATCCTTGAAACTTTTTTTTTGCATACTCACACACACACACACACACGTAAATTTTTGGTCCTTGAGGCAAAATAATTCACAAAATATAAATATAGATAGATAGATAGATGAGAGAGAGAAAAAAAACGGTTCAATCCATGAAACGGTTTTTTTCCGATGAAATAAATTGGAAATTTTTTCGAAACGAAGAAAATGATAACCCACACACACAGGCACACCATGTTTTGGGCCCCGTATAATAATCTTAAAATTCGTGCACAAACGCTGCTTCATTTTTGGGCCTCGTGTTAAAGCGGCTAGTCTAAAATTAGAAAATCTCTTTTATTATTATTATTATTATTATTGAAGGTTTTAGGGTAACAAAAAAAAATTATTTGGCCAAAATTTACCTTTGGGTGAAATTTTTTTTTTAACTGATAATTTTTCGGTTCACTTTAAATATTCACAACATACACACACATAAACTTTAGGTGCAATCTGCTCTTGATTTTCAATTTCCCTTACCTTATTCATTATCACATTTAGTTATCACACAAAGTCAAAATGTTTTTCTTTTTGTTTCGTTTACCTGGAAATTTTTCAAAAAAAAAGATACACACACACACAGAGAGAGAGACCATAGGAAAAAACACACACCAAGAACTAGAACAGTAAAAAATCAATCAATATGACCATTTGATGGCAAACAAAACGTTGTGTGTGTGTGTCATCATGATGAAAGTTTAAAATATTTTCAAGTTTTTCAATAAATTTGATTGAAAAAAAAAATTTGAAACATTGATCTGCAAACATATCAGCCAATTTTTCACTCACTAAAAATTGATTCATCATCAAGTCATTGATGATTCATTTTATGTTTCGTTTGTGTGTGTGTGTGTGTGTCACATTTTTTTTTTTCTTGCTGAAAAATTGTCAATTTTTTTTCATTTAAAATAATCAATCATCATTTTTCAATCCATTTTTAATCTATCTATAATATGTCACCCACACACACACACACACAGCAACAGAGCCAAGACCAAGAGAATAACTCGAATCGAAACTAATTTCTAATCAAATCCATCCAATTTTGACAACATCATCATGATTAGTATCCATCATCAATATGAAAAAAAAATTCTATCGAATTTGCATAATAATTTTTTTGCTTTCTTGATCATCTGATGTCTAAATCGATCAATTTGATCGTTTAAATTTCAATTTTCTTTTTTTTTTGTTTGAAATTATCTCATAATCTCTCAGCAAAGTAATAATAAATAATCTCAGCCATTCACACAAATTCTTGATCTTTTTTTGCTTAAATAATTTTCAAATTTTCTTCAAAATTCATCATCGAAATTAATGTTTAATTTGCACGTGCATTTTTTTATCATTCATCAACGTCATCATCATCATGAACACACACACACACACACACACACACACGCCCACCATATTGATTAACAGAATTTCGAAACAGAATTTTTTTTCTCGTCTCTCATTTCATTTTTATCATTTTATTATCAATGAAAATTCACCAATTCTCAACACAAAAATTTTTTTTTTTTTTGCCCCATGTGTGTGTGTGTGTGTGAGTGGACAAATTTTTCTTAATTTAATTACTTTTAAACATTTTTAATTGAAAAGAATATTCATATTCATCAACGTAATTATTATTCTTATCATTATTGTCATTCAATTCATTCATATATTCATAATATATTCATTCATTCATAATATAAATCACAACAACACAATGCCCATTTCGCAGATTAATAATAATAATAATAATAACAATGGTAATATCACAATTTTTCATTTGAATTCTTGAAATAAATAAAAAAAAATATCATTTTCAATTGAAAAAAAAATTCATCAGAATAAAGATTTCATTTTTTTTTCGGTGTTTGTTTGAAAATTCTTTACCATCATTCCCTTACTGGTAAGTAGGCAATCATCGATTCATGATTATTAACGTTGTTTTTTTTTCTTGAATTTAGAATCGTTAAATCATTGATTACGTTATGACATAATGATAATAATAATAATGTCGTGGATTGATCATTTGATATATGAGTTAATGATCATATTATATAATTATGCAACGATTCTGGTTTTTTTGATTATTGTTCCAACCAAAGAATCCATCTTTAACAACAAAAAAACATGGTAAGTCATGTTGTTTACTATACAAAATGACAACATATATTCTTGTTCTTTTCTTTACTATTCTACCCATATTATAACGATTATTATGAAATAGAAAACTGAATAATTGCTGCTTGCGCTGCTGTTTGGGTGTTTGTTTTATGTTTTTTTTTTGCATTGGTCCCATTCAATTTTTTTTTCTTGTGAAAATTGTGATTCTCATTTGATTATAGTTTCATCATCATCATCACCACTAGTTAGATTAGACAGATTGATTGAGATGAATATATGTTTGCATTTTCCTATCGAATTTCTATCGAATAGAAAAAAAATCAGAATCTATAATTATAGTTGAAAAGCACAAAAACATGAATCGATTGATGATAATTTGATCATCATTATCATCATCATCATCGATGATCTCAAATTTAAAACTTGATATTATAAATCCTTGTACATCCTATTTTCGTTGTTGTTGTTGTTGTTTTGGATTATACATAAAATTATTCTAGCAAGACAGTTTACAGTGGAATTATTTTTTTTTCTTCTCTAAAATCTTGAAATTTAAATTATACTTTGCATTTGTGTGTGTGTGTGTGCTATCCATGTCCACATTGTGATTAATTCATGTGGATGCTAATGCCACAACAACAACAACAACAACAACGATGATGATGATGTTATAGTTTGTTTGCTAAATTATTTATAATTTTGTTGTTGTTGTTTTTCTAGTTTTTGTTGTTGTTGTTGTTGTTCTTGATTAGATTATATCTAGTTATAAGAATCAGTGATAATGATAATGATGAGAAAGTTCAAATTATACTCTTCATCTATAATTTAAATGTTGTTGTTTCAAATTTTTTTTTCCAATCATCATCATCATCATCATCATTTTTTTTCGCCCGGTGAACGAATCCGTTTTCATATGATTATAGTTTCGGTTTTTTTCATGTGAATAAAACTGGTGAAAAAAAATTCAGAATATTCTTAAATGAAATTCTGGTGATCCATTCAAAATTTTTCTGGTTTTAATAAAATAAAGTTCCAGATGCAATAAAAAAAACATTGCTTCAATGTAGCCAAAATAAAATTTTGATGAATGTATGAACCATGGATTTGTTTCATACTCGATTTTTTTTTATACTTCGTCTCTGGTCTCTGGTTTCTGGCTGTACCGATGAATGTTATTCAACAGCCAGAAACTGAAGCATCACTGCTTTTTTTTAATGCCAAACGACGACAATAATGTTGAAAAAATTATGGACATAAATTTTAATATATAAATTTGACATATCTGAACAGAATTGCCAGAGAAAAAAAACTCGATATTCTTCAGCATCTCATCATTTATTTTCATTTTTTCTTGTTCGTACAAAAAATAAAAACTTTGAAGATTCTAGAGATCATTTGAGATGATAAATTGATTTATTCGTTCGATCGATTCGTATTTTTTTTTTCTCTCTACTTGGAAGAATCGATTGCTCAAAGTGAAAGTGAACGCTAACTCCATATTTGTATTGGAAAACCCTATTTCTGTGTGTCGAAGATATCGAAAAAAAATGATGGATATCGTTTAGATTCTTGAAGCAAAAAATGTTCGAGTGTGCGAGCGAGTTAATGTGAATTTCACACACACACACACACACACGCTCATTCTTCATCACCATCATCACATCCATCATCTATCAGATTCATTAGTTGATGTCTTGAAAAAACTTTTTTTTGCCATTCTTTTTGTTGTCATCATCGTCATTTTTTTGTTTTGCTAGATTCATCAACCAACAACCAGCTAGCCAAGAAAAAAATGAACATCGACCAAAATCTTGAAAAAAGGAAACGAACAACAGAAAAAAAAACAAAACAGAAAATTTGGTGAAAACGTTCAAAATGAAATCGAATATATTAGAGAAATGGGGTACATCATCATCATCATCATCAACATAAGAAAACATTCGTATCGATTGATTCGTTTTCTTATTTTTGGAAGATTTTTTTTCTTTTTTTTTGCTTCTTCAATTCCATTTTTTGTTGTTTTTCTTTTCTGATTACATTCGCATTCCATTTTCTCTGGATTTTTTTGTTGTTGTTGTTGTCGTTGTCTTTGTCGTTCAGAATGTGACTATCCATGACAACAACAACAACAACAACAACAAAAACGATGCTGATGATGAGAACCATGATGATGATGAGAGAATCCGGCAGCAATTTTCTCACAGAGTTTTTTTTTCTTCTTTTTTTTTTTCGTAGATTTGTGCCATGTACCAAAAAAAAAAAAAATTCATGCCACTGTATATCTGAGCAAAACCAAAAAAAAAATTTTCTCATTTATTCCATTTTCATTCTTTTTCATCCATTTTCCAACAAATCGAGAATCCATTTAATACTAGAATTTATCCATTTGAATCGAATTTTGAATCTTTTGCTTGATATTCGTATCACACAACATTCAATGTTGTTGTTGTTGTTGTTGTTGTTTTTCTTTGGCTCTGGTGATGAACATTTCTATCGAAAAAAATTTTTTTGTTGTTGTTTTTGCTTGGATGCTGATTATTTTTGATGCTGGTGTTCACATTTTTTCATTGGAATTTTGGATCCAGGATTTTTCATTTGGGTTTTCATTTTCGTAGCCAAAAAAAAAAAAAAAAAAAAAAGATCGACAGTTGTTTCGACAATATATATTCAGGAGGGAGGAAGGAGGGGGTGATAGCATTTTCTGGCACCACTATGGTGATATGTGTGTGTGTGAATGGCGAATTGTGGAAAATAGCGAAATGAAAAAAACTTTGGTCCAAAGTTGTTTTTTTTTGTTTGTTTGTTTGTTTGCTTGCTTGCTTTCTCTTTTCCATTTTTTTATTTCCACAATTTTTTTGTTGTTGTTTTTTGTTTTGTTTTGGCAGAATCCAAAATTCAGTGAATGTGAATTCAGCTGCGTTTTTTTTTCTATCTGCCAAAGTTGGCCACATTCATTTTCGGTCCAAATCACTTTTTTTTTTTTTCTTCTTCGAAAACTATGGACCAACATTATTATTATTATGTTTGTAGAATCGACATGAATTTCTTGCAAAAGTCAAATGTGCAAGGCAATGCAATGTAATAGTGCACAGGCGCATGAATAAATGCTCTGGATACACATATGTACGGGAAAAAAAGTGGACTATATAGTCGATTCTGGATCAGAAATTTTGAACCTATAAATTTTTTTTTTTCGATTTCAATTCCAAGATGTGTATGTGCTTAAACCCGCTTTTTTTCCATTGCTTTGAATATGGTCGAATATTCCTACGACATTGAATTGAGAAAAAAAAATGCAAAGAGAAAATCTTGTGACTTGATGGAGAAAAAAAAAATTTTTTTTTTCTTTCTTCAAAAGTTAATTTCCATAAAAAAAAGTTCGATGTTTGTGAATTAACATCATCATCATTATAATCATCACCAACCATGATTGTAATTACACACCTACACATACACACACACACACACAAGACGTCTGACAATTAACATTGAATCCATAGCTAAACTTTTCAATTATAACCTTTTTTCTGCTGTTGTTGTTGTTTTACGATTGATGAAATTAATCTGAGAGAAACATAAAAAAAATTAGACCTATACCATCATTATATGTATGGAAATATCAAACATATGCTGGAATTTGTAGCCATTCATTACGATTTGAATAATTTTTCATTTCGCTACATTTTTGTTTTTGTTTTATGCTCACTCATCATCGAAAGGACATAAACCCCTTGTATTTTCAAGGTTTTTTTTTCTCTACCATTGTTATTACATTGATTGAAATTGGCTACATGAAAAAACCCTTTTTTAAAGACAATGGATACATTTGCTGTTTTTGTTGTTGTTCTTCGTCACAAAGAATGTAATGATGATGATGATGATCATCATCATCATGATCGTTTTGATTTACTTGATTTTTTTTCTGTTCAGTTTTGTTCACTATATAATACTTCATAATCATTATTTTATTCTCGAAGAAGAATGAGAAAAAGAAAAACAAAAATGAAATGAAATAAATCGTGATTACAAAACACCAAAGCCATAATTTTATTCACATCATCATCATCATCCAGTGGACGACGAAGCAATTATTGTAGCAAAAAAAAAAAACAAGATGAAAACAAAGAAATTTGCAAATTACAAAAGAAAAATTATCATCATCGTCACATGATGGATACATTTACTCTGGCGCCAAAATGAAAGGGAAAAAAATGTAGCATTTGTTTCTCATTCAGAATGATGGACAAGAAATGAATATACCAAGAGCAACCTTGTGGAATTTTTTTTTGGCGAAAAGAAGAAAAAAAAATAAATGAAAAACCAAAAGATGGCCATACCAAAAAAAAATTGTGAATAATTTATGCTTAAACGTGTGTTTGTGCGTGTATGCATAAAGCAGCATTGAACTCTTTTTCTTACGAACCCCTTGGTATTAACTTGAAATTCAGAGACGACGACGACGACGACTACCACCACCACCATCATCATTATCATCAACAAAATTGACTTTCTAAAAAAGAATTTTCTTTTCTTTTACCTATCACGCCAATAGACTAAAACAAACCAATTTAGAATACAGAAACAAATCAAATTCTCAGACAAACAACACACACACACACACACACACTACTAATTTGTTCAAAGTTTTCCATTTTCAACGTTGTTATTATTGTCTTGTCTGTAGTATAGTAGTAGTTTTTCTATTTCTTTAACCGAAACAAAAACAAAAACAAAAACAAAAAACTAATCAATATTTTTTTTTTGTTCGCTGAACAATTTAAAACTTGAATGAACAGCCAACAAAATTCCAAAATGAATGAACACAATGATTTTTTCAGGATATCCACTACTAATTATAGCTATTGTATATCCAATGTTTGTTGTTGTTGTTGTTGTTGTTTTTCAATGGGTTGAAAATTGATAAAAAAAGTTCATTTTCATGATTCAGGTTTTCTTTTCATTTGAGTTTTCAAAACATTATATATTTCAGAAGATAAATTGAAAATTCA